GGGGTGTGTGTTTTGGAAATAGCAAACCTATGGAGGTTGATTGTCCTGTACTCTCTTCCAAGATGGAATAAATGTGTCAGATATTCAATGATTGCATTCAAAGGTGCTGAAACTGGATTAATTTGTTTTGATAAACACCAGCTAACCCACTGTTTCCAAGCAGAGTTATAACAGGCTGCTGTGGATTTACGCCAAGCGGACAAGAGAAGGGTTTTAGCTTCGTGCGAAATGCTGTTTGCCTCGAACTGTTGGCTGAGACAAGCCACGCGGCTAAAACAAGGTCTTTTAGGGGTGTTGCTCCTGTTCCCTGGTCAGCAGATTGGGGGAGGGTGGGAGGAGCAGTGGTTGGTCCACACACAGCTCCAGGAGCAGAGGGAACTAGGATTACATTTTCCAAACCTGGGTAACTATCACAAGACTTGGAACTTGTTGACGGATGACCTGTTTGACGCAAAGCCCAATCAGTATATATGGCGGGAATACATAACCTCTGTGTTGGGCCCAGTTTAGCGAAAAAGCATCCGTCGCTTCTGCTCCTGGGTCTGGCTTCCAACTCACATAACGAGGGAGTTGGTTGGTTAGCCGAGAGGCAAAAAGGTCTATTTCTAGAGGACCCCAGAGCAGATTTATTTGCTGGAATATTTCGGGCATGAGTTTCCAATCGCTGGAGTCGCCCAGCGATCGGGACTCCTCGTCGGCTATTACATAGATACCCTGGTAGGTGTTGTGCGACTATAGTTATGTCTCTGTTGAGACACCACTGCCATATTTGATAGGTCAAGGAAGCGAGAATGCATGAGGACGTGCCCCCATTTTGTTTAGGTATGTAACTGATGTCTGGTTGGCCATTAACAGAATGACTTTGATATGGCATCTGTCTTTTACGAATGATTTCAGAGCAAATCCTCCCGCTATCAGTTCCAGGCAGTTTATGTGCAATAAACGCTCGGTCTGAGACCAATGTCCCCATAACGAGCCCCCCAGCCTAGAGACGAAGCATCTGTCTCTATAACGATATCGGGGCATTTTGATACTAGACTTTTGCCATTTCAGGCTAGCAGGTTGTCTCGCCACCAAATCAGTTCCTCCCTAGTCCTGTGAATGACTGAGAGCAAGGTGTTTTACCCGCCGGAGGTGGCGCTAGTTTAGGGGAGCAGGGAAAACTGCCTGAATGGATGCATTTAGCTTCCCTAGAAATCGAGAGAGTTCTCTTACAGAAACCGGGTTGTTGCTCAGCAAGGACTTACTCTCTCTCCTGATTTGACGAAGTTTGTCGTGGGTTAAGGACAGAGTCATAGTTACTGAGTTGACTGTGAACCCCAGAAACTCTAACTGTTGACTGGGATTTAGAACTGACCTTTTGTGGTTGATCACAAAGCCCAAGCTGGTTAGCAAGTTGACTGCCAGGTTGGCATGGGCTTTGGCTATCTCGACTGACTCTGCCATGATCGGGATGTCGTCCAAATAAATAATCAGTCGTACACCTTGTTTGCGTAACAATGCTACGACTGGTCTTAGTATCTTGGTTAACACCAGGGGTGCTGAAGCTAGCCCAAAGGGGAGGCACGTGAATTCCAGGAGGGTATCTTTCCAAAGGAATCTGAGATACTTTTGATGGTTCTTCCAAATTGGAATGGTAAAGTATGCGTCTTTTAAATCGATCTCTACCAGGTGGTCGTTTTCTTTGACAAGATCCCGTAACATGTGAATACCCTCCACTTTGAAATGCTGGTATTCTAAGAATTGATTTAGCCCTTTGAGATTGATAACTGGGCGTTGGCCTCCTCCCTTTTTGGGAACTAGAAAAAGAAAACTGACAAAACCGTCTCGGGGGTGAGAGTTGGGAACTGCATGAACTGCCCCTTTTTGTATCATTTCTTTGACTTCTTCGTCTATTAAGCTGGCTTGAGTATCTGACACATGTGTACTGGGTATGTGACTCTGAAATGGTTCCATCAACAAGGGGAGGCGGTACCCTTGGATAACATTTAGTACCCAGGGGTCTGAAGTTAGGCTTTGCCACTGGGGAAGAAAACTTTGCAACCGACCTCCCAAAGGAGTTAAATTTGTGCTTAACAATAAATCTGGATTTGCAAACATACCTTGGGAAATTAGAGGCCTGAGATGTTGGGTGTCCCCCTGGAAGACCCTCTCCGGTGAAATCGGCCGCCCCTCCAAGGGGTGCGGTTGTAGGAGGATCTGCCTCTGAAAAAACTGTTGCCTCGCGGGCTGTAATGGCCCTCCCAGCTCGGCTTTGAATTTTGGGAAGGCCGAGCATGAAAAAACTTCTTTGAAACATGGCCAGGTTTACGCAAGGCAGACGAGATCACCTTGGCGGTTTCGGCACGTTTAGTAACCTTTTCTTCCAAGCCTGGGCCAAACAAATCTTTCTTGCATTCTGGAAAGCTTTCTTTAGCGAGGGAACCGTAATCAGAGCCAAGTTTATCCAGAACAAGCCTCCGGCGCCAAGTAGTCAAGTGGCTGCAGGCATTTCCTAGTAAGAACAGGGCTTTAGAAATGCAGGTCTGGATTACATCCACCGACAAGGTTTCGGCGCTATTCATGTGCTCCCACGCCATTGCTAGTGGGCCAGTAACATCAAGGATGAGGTCTTGTGACTTTTTTATCGGTTTATCCACAGGTTTAGCTTGTGGGACCAAGTCACCCAAATACGAATCCGGGTTAGGAGCAAAAACGCATTCCACGTTCGGGCGCGGGAAATCTTTCACGATCGCCCGTCGTTCAAACGCGGAAAGTTCCTTCGTAAATAACAAGGGAAGTAGAGCAGACAACTCATCTGATGTTTCCCAGCGGCCAGAGGTTGTAAGTTCATCCTCTAGTTCTACAGAGGCCGGCAAATCATTCGAATCCTGCCCATCAATTGTAATGAGTGGAGGTTTCTGAACACGAGGCTTCTTGTTGTTGCTTGCGTTTGGCTCGTCTCCTTCAGGAGCACGTTTGTCTTTCGTAGCTGAGCCTTTTGTTGATCCGGAGGCTTCACCGGAATTAACAACCGATTCTGATGACTCAGATGGTTTACTGCGATCCGTCTCGTTTGTTGAACCGGCGAGGGAACCAGTGGATGAACTTGCAAAGTTCGATGAAACAGAAATTTGCTTTGCAACAGCTTCGGATAGAAAGGTGATGAACGGACTGTTCGATAAGAGTTCAGCTATCGGACTAGTGTCACGATGGCTGCTAAGAGTGGCAAGAGAAGGTGGATTACCTGAGATATCCCATCCACTGACGAGCTCATCTTTGTCTGCCATCTTCTCGCACGAGGGAGCGAAGCAAAAAGGCGATACTTTGGGGTGGCCCTGGGTGATATAGGGGCTCTCAGTGTGAGGTCCCGGATGCCTTATGACGTTGATGTTTTTTCCTTTTTTGGATGTATTCTTTGAATTTCACTGTTTTATTTTGAAGCAATTAAGGCAATACATTGTTATATGAGGCGAGTTTAGGTGAAGTATAAACGAATTACCTAACACTGATCCTTCATGCAGCTCACAATACACTCCGGCGTTTTCACATTCTTTCATGATGCACTTCATTTGCGTCTGCCAAATTCTTCAAGTCGCAGGGAGGAACAGCGAGTCCCGTTTGCCTTTGTATTCTTCAGTCAGGGTCTCGAAAGCCTGCGAGAAAAAAAAAAACAGCTTAAGTAAAAAAAATGCCTCCTATCGGTACGAAGGAGAATATTAAGACCGTAAGCAGTTTTTCTACCAGCATGAAGGAAATAATAGTACCTTTATAGACTATCGGAAAAGTAGCAGCTAAGCCGAAGAGGTGAGAAGAAAGCAACTGAATGAGACAATGACTTGATATTCCAGTCCATGAACCCTCCCTCCCTCCCTCCCCTACATAGGGGTTGAACCCAGCCGGGAGAATCCAGAGTAACTTGCATGCGCATGCAAAAGGCGCCTCAAATGATAATTATTTCACGAGTGAATCAAGCCATCTATAGTAAGTAGTTGACGGCCAAATTTTCATGGCCCTTTGGTGATCGTGTTAACGTGGTTCCACTGTACTAGCTAGATTTTACAAAAAAACTACTACTTGAGGGCTACGTATACGCAAGATGAACTTCTACCAGGCTGCGTATGTAAGCGTTTCCGTATCGTACCTATCCCCTTCAAAGTCAAATGGTCCAGCCTTACACAATATTACTGTGATAATAATACACATGAAAAAATTACTCGATTCTGATTGGCTAAGAGCAGTGCAGTTCAAGTGTAACACCAGTGCAAAAAGTGTAACATCAGTGCAACAAGTGTAACACCAGTGCAAATTACACATCGAAATTCTGGATTATGATTGACTGAAAGAAAATAGGAACTTTTCCAAGAAAATGATATGACTTAAAATGATGACGAAAATTTTGTGCTGAAACTTTGAAAAAAGTTTTCTCAAATGAGAAAAAATGGCTTCAAGAAAGATCTTCCGGCACTTCCTCCGCGCGAATTTTTTCATGTTTATATTATTAATAAGCAATCAAACGGTTTTTCTCGTTCAATTTGGAGTTAATTTGCACTTGTGAGTTTTTCAAAAAGCTGAAATTACACTCGCCGAAGAGGCTCGTGCAATTTCAGCTTTTTGAAAAACTCACTCGTGCAAATTAATTTCAAATTGAACTCGAAACCGTATGATTACCTATACTAATATTTAAAGACGAACCACTAGCCTCAGACCTAAGCTGACCTACACCTCTATTCTGAACCAAGCTCGAAGCTAAATCTAAAAAATTAGTTACTGATTTCCTATTAGCTAATATAGTCTTGGAAACAACAGCGCTATTTCTCAAGTTGGTTTGCACCTGCCCGCCCGTTTCGGGTGGTCGCAATTATCATTCTAGGTTCTGACGCACACAGTTTCAAATTACCAAATTTAACTATAAACGATCCAGCATCTACAGTATATTAGTTATGCACTCTCTTTTTAGCGGAGCACCATAACTATAGCAACAGAACCACATGCATGCATAGAAATAGAAAACCATGCAACTCTTTTTTCATGGTCAACATGGCTAGCGGTATGGATCGCGGGCGCGTGCGCCCAATGACGACGCACAACATGGCGCCCATACTCCAGCTAATAACAAGTCATGCAGCCTTGGTTTACAGCGTACATCTTTGATATTGGCTATCCATGTTATGGTCAATTGACACCTGTCAAGACAAGGTATCCGCTTACCAGTATCACATGGCCATATCGCGGGCTCATGTTTAGATACGCTGTGTTTTTTAAGCATGGTACTGGCCATGCGGTTGAATGTTTAAATGTTTAGGCTGGTCTTGTCCAGCCCCGAAACACGTGATGTGGCAACGCGTGTTTCGGGGCGCAAGTGAGTTCAAAGTACGGAACTTGACATAGTGCACGGGTCATTTTGCAATTTATGTGCGTTGGCTTTTGGGTTGGCGTTACATATCTTCGCTACACAGTGCTGACGAGCCCCAAGAAGGGCGAAACAGCTGTTCACTGTTGCGATCCTACTTTATCGGTTCTTGTCATGTTGGTGTCTCGAAACGTTTTTCACGTAGAATCAGCCTTGCAGTCTATTGCTTGTCTTCATACATTTTTTTGGCTGATCAGATCTCTTGTAGATCCTACGTTGGCAGCGTTTATTGTATGCGGTCCCTTGCAGTTTCTGGTTTCTCATGTTTAGGACTCATCAAAGTCACGTGTTTTTTTAAGTTGACTGTTGATCAAGTACTGGTTTTCGGTTTCATTCCAGGTTAACTTGTTGTAATGAGGGCCGGGTTGTTCGGAAGCCGGTTAATATTAACCCAGGATTAAAAGTTAACCAAAGTATAAATTTTACTCGCATACAAATGTTTTTCACTTTTGTTTTGTATAGTTTGAGATTATTCAAACCCAAAACAGCAGGCCAAACAATATAAACAGAAAACCTCACCGCAAAGTTACAAAATGCAAATCAAAATTCTCGCTTATCCTAGTTTAGCTTAATCGGGTTTTGAGCAACCCGACCCTGGAGCCCCGCTTTTAGGCTTTCTTATCTCTTTCACTGTTCTTTTGTTTCACGTCAATGACAGACAGCTCTGTCGGAAAATGATGGTTTGTTAAAATATTAAAATGTTGAAATATCACCTGCCTGGCTTTCAAAGAGATGAAAACGTTGTATTTCAACTTTAACCGACTTCAGAAAGATTCATTATATTGGTACATCCCAAAAAAATTAACCAGGTCACAGTTGGACAGTCAAGGTTGAAAAAAAAAAGAGTTCCAAAATAAAAGAGCCTCACTTCTCGACACTGAACAAGCACGCTAGGTCCTCAACCACCAAACTTATGTAAATAAGCGGTCTAGCGTTAGCACGGAGGTCGTAAATATTCACAGTAATGCAGTTTATAGCTAGCAAAGCCGTGCTCTAAAATCAAGTTCAGTACACACCCGATAGGGTGGATCAGGGTGTACTGCAACGAAGAGAAACTTTGCCTAAATTTTAATTTTCCTATAAGATAGACCTGAGCGAATAGCACCATAAAACAATGAATTTCAGCCAGAAAAATGGATGCAATCCTACGTCCAAGGATATCACTTGACAAGCAAAACGATTTGCCTACTTGATCGGCCGGGTTAGACCTTACTAAAGAGCCAAGCGAGCACGAAAGACAACACGGAATGAATGATCATCGCAGTAAATTTTCCAATTTAAGCAACTGGAAAGAAGAAGCCTGAAAAAATCATGGCTTCAACGGGATTCGAACCCGTGACCTCCGTGATACCGGTGCGATGCTCTACCAACTGAGCTATGAAGATTCAAATATGAATTATTTCATATAAACTTCACATCAATATTTAGAGAGCAAGCCACATCAGCCCTAGCTGGTTTTCATGCTGGTCCTCTATCCTGGTCGAAACGGAATTTGGAGATGATAGTTTTTGTGGAAGAAGGAAAACCGGAGAACCCAGAAAAAAACCTCTGAGTCAGGTGAGAACCAATAACAAACTCAACCCACATATGACACTGGAATCCTGGCCAAACTTGTGGGAGGCGAGGGCTCTCACTACTACGCCATCCCATGAGCCTCTTGTGTTTAAAAGTCGACCCTGTTTCTTGTTAATTCAGTATAGAGGTTTTGCACGGCAGCCATGTTTCATGGCAGAAACAATGAAAATGTTCTGCATTAGAAAGAACATTTTTCCCCACAGGAAAAGGAATATATTGTTCCTGTCATGCAACATGGCTTCCGTGCAAAACCTCTATTTGAACCCAGCGTACATTCGGGGCTTGACGTTTAATCAATAAAATGAGTTAAAAGTGGCACTCACTTTTCATCAATTCCAACGAGATGGAGATCTTTGGTTTTGGCCATAAACGGACCAGGAATCACATCACACACTATGCAATCATTAAATGAATGGAAATATCCGCCCCTAAAGTGTGCAGTCCAATTTCTGAACATCACCTGAAGGCAGTCTTTGTCCCACTCCCCACGCAGATTTTTATGGCTTCCCCCAGCAATAATTGTGTCCTGGGTCTCACTCAGCATGCGAACGAGGCGCTCAAGGTTTACGTCATCAGTAAAGTGTGTAATATCCGGGGCAAAGAGAACGTATGGCGTCTTCACGTTCTGGAGCAACTTGGACCAAGTCTCTCCGTGTGTCAGGCCTTTGAAGACGATGTTCTTAAAATTCAGCTTAAGCTTTGTTATCCCTGTCAAGGTAGGCTCTGTTTTCGACACTAATGTTATAGGTATGTGTGGATAATGTTTGGCGATGCCTTGAAATACTTGATGCTGTTCTTCAAGTGACCTCTCCTCAGGTAAAGTTACGAGTACTGACACAAGTTTATTTATCGGAACAAACTCGGCACAGTTTACTCCCTCGAAACCTTTCCTATAAAAAGGATATCCATAAAGTGAATCATTTCCCATAAATTTCTCGGGACAAACCTCCTTCTTTGACGTAGACTTGCTAGAACTGAAACCACCTCCAAAAAAACTTTTATCCTCATTCTCTAAATTTTCACCCAAGGATTTTATTATGCCGCGTAAAAGTTCAACATTTTTTCCAACGCGGTGAAAATGCAATGGAGAATTGACCAAGCTTCTTTGTGTCTCGGAGAGTTCAACCGCTAAACGCTTTAAATCATTAACTAGATTTAGTGCATGGCGTTTTCTGGTCTTGTGAAGCTGTTTGGAGAAGAATATTATCATCAATATGCACAAGACAGCGAGAAGGACGAAAAGTAAACGATAAAACTTGAATCTGCTCATGGCGCTGGTATTTTGTAGCTGGTAAAGATGTCCATGCTTCAGTTTTGATCTTCGTATTCTTCAGTCAAGATCTCGAAAGCCTGCGAGAAAAAAAAAGCTGAAGTAAAAAAAAATGCCTGCTGTCGAAACGAAGGAGAATACTAAGACCGTTAGCAGTTTTTCAACCAGCATGAAGGAAATAATAGTACCTTCAGTTTATAGACTATCTGTAGAGTAGCGGCTAAGCCGAAGAGGTGAGAAGAAAGCAACTGAATGAATCAATGACTTGATATTACAATCCATGAACTCTCCCTTCGTCCCTCCATCCCTCTCTCCCCTACATAGGGGTTGAACCCAGGCGGGAGAATCCAGAGTAACTTGCATGCGCATGCAAAAGGCCGCCATTCAGTTTCAGCAGTGGGAGAAACGAAGATGGTGTTTAAAAGAGAGGAGTAAATAGAACTGGTTCTTAAAGTGTTGATTGTGGTATCGTGAGTGACGTTTGGAATAGGGTTTTTAAGACAAGCTTTCCAGTTTTGGGGGATTGCGTTAACCAGGCGATAGTATATGATGAAAGGAACCTTCAAATTGAATTTTATTGCAAGTTCATGCCACTTCAAAAAGTTCTGATTTTGGTTTAATATGTCGCTTATCTTGGTAATGCCGGCGTCATACCAATTTTGATAAAAAACAGGTTTTTATCCCACAAGAATTTTCCTGTTATTCCACAGTATTTCGTTTTTAGGATTTGTTTTGGAATCGATGCCCGTTAAGATTTTGAACTCGCACCAATAATCTAACAGTTTTTTTTATAAAATGTGGGCAGCGCATCATCAAGGTCAAATATACTTGTTGCGAAGTTGCATTTTGTTAGGAAGGCTAGACCACCATGTTTGTGCAAGAGCTGGTTAGGAATTATTTTCCAGGAGGCTTGTGACTCGTCTTGAATTCTGTTGACCCAAGTTATTTTGAGCGCTTTTTCCATGATCTTAAAATTACACATTTTCAATCCGCCGTTTTTCTTTTCCCAATTATGGTGTTTCTTTTGATTTTAGGGGGCTTCCCTGCCCAAACAAAGTTGAAAATTAGCTTATTTATTTCTTGGATGTAGTGATTTGAAACAGGGAGCACGGAAGCTGAGTAAATTAATTTAGATATCCCAAGTGTTTTGATTAGGTTAATCTTTCCATAAAGAGTTAGATTTCTCCGTTGCCGAGTGTTAAGCGTTTTCTCGAGGTAAAGTATTTTTTCACTGAAGTTCAGTCTGTTAGCACCTTCTTGGTTGTAAGAAAAGAAGACACCAAGGGCGTTGATGGGTTCTTTGGGTCATTTAAAACCAAAAGGTTCATCTGTTCTGTCTTTCCATTCGCCTAACCACATTGCTTCGGTTTTGTGGTGTTTATTTCTAGACCAGAATGCTCTTTGAAATCATTTAACACCCTCAATAGACTCGTAACGGAGTCGAGGTCACGAACAAATACTGTTGTGTCGTCGTCATATTAACTTATTTTAAGCTTATGCTTGTTGACTTGGATACCATAAATAGTGGGATCATTTTTATGGATCTAGAGAGGAGTTCTATGCCAAGAACGAAGAGGACGCCAGACAACGGACAGCCTTGTCTGACTCCCCGCTGCAAAGAGAAAAACGTTGAAGCATGACCGTTATTCAGAACACAGCTGGTAACATTATTATAGAAAGTTTTTATCCAATTTTGAATGTTATGGCCGAAGTTGAAGAGCCAGATATACTTCTACTAGCCTTCGCATGCAAGCGTTTCCGTATCGTACCTATCCCGTTCAAAGTCAAATGGTCCAGCCTTACACAGTATTACCGTGCTAATATTTAAAGACGAACCACTAGCCTCAGACCTAAGCTGACCTACACCTCTATTCTGAACCAAGCTCGAAGCTAAATCTAAAAAATTACTTA